ACACGCATGCCCACACCCCTGCACGCGGCCAGCCCCTGGAGGTCGATCCTGAGTGTCTTCATCTGCTGGCATCGTCCTGAAGCAGGGACCCCCGCACACTCACTTCTCAGCAGGCGGAGCTCACACCCCCAGTGAAGGCTCTGCTCTCGCTGTTCTTAGCAGGTGCCCGGGGGCGTGGCCCGCGAAGGCCTGATCGTGTGTGTGTCCTCCGACGGATCGGGGTTCTCCTCTGAGCGCCGGCGCCGCATGTTCACCTTCCTGGCTTTCTCGTTTTCCGCTCCCCTTAACGAGGTCTCCGGGGCAGCAGGTCGGTGTCTTTGCGACATGTGCGTCCATGCGCCGTGGTGTCGTGGGCACGAGTTGGCGTGACAGCTGATCCGCGGGCCCTCCCCACGCGGCCCCGAAGCCGTCACTGTGGCGCTGTCCCCTCCCACGTCAGACCGTGTGACTTCTCTTCTCGTTTGGGAGGAAGGCAGAAAACCCTTCTGGGGGCGGGACCCTCGTGGGCGCGGCGCAGCTTCCCTGCTTCTGTGAGGATTCAGGACCTGCCGTGGGAACTGCGCTCACACTAACGGGGTCGCAATCCCTGTGGTCACCGTAGGTTTGGGGTAAAAAGGGAATCCTGTCGTTGAGCTGGGCTCCTCTCTCCTCGTGGTTCGTTTAGGCCTCGTGCGAAGATGCAAATTTCACACGGGAGTGAAACACGCCATTGCCCTTTGAACGGATGGCTCTGCCTGAGCCGGCCCAAATGGCCAGCCGAGCCGTGGGCGGTGTCCCTCGGCTGGCCGTGTCCCCACGACCCTGCCGCACGCACGCAGTGGCACTTGAGAGGACTTGCCCCAGTTGTCACTCGCCTGTCACTGCCCTGTAAGTGTTGAGGTCAGCACAGGAGCTAAAAACAAACATTTCTACGTGTGGAAAACTTAGCAGCTCTTATACCTTGAAAACGGAATAATACGTTTTGTTTCGTTTAGTTGCAGCAAAGAGAGGTCGTTGTTATGACAGGTAATTTTATAAGTATTGTTTTGACAGACGCCGAACGTGCCGGAGGCAGCAAGCCCATGCAGGGGAACGTGTGAAGTATTCAAATGACTTCCTGAAAATGAACTTCGTGTTTTAAATAATAGATGTTTGTCTGCCAGGATAAACCTTAAATATTCCCATTTTCACTGAAATGGCATGTTTTTAAAAGGATGAAGTTGTACCCACAGCCCACTGCGTTCCGCACGCTCTCAGGGAGGTGCCACAGTGCGGTCCTGGGGGACGCGGCGACTGTCATTTCCAAATCATGTGACTGCAGCGGGGCCGCTCCTCACACCGTGGAACATGCCTTAGCCACACGAGAAACCGTTTTGGCCAAAGACTCATTTACGTCTTATTGTGTTAAATGTCACGGAATGAAGCCGCGAGTGGCAAAAATGGTCCCTTAATCGGGCTCTGATTTTACTTCTATATTTCCTGTTATAAAAATGTAGATTTGAGTCCAGCACAGCACAAAGCTCTGTAGCTCATTAAATTGACGAAGCACTGAAGCACCCTCCCCAGCAAGGACTCGGGAAGTCGAGCTGGCCGGACAAGCTGGTCTTGGCCTTGACCCTGACCCAATACCGTTCATGTGGGCACACTCGTGTGTTCACATGGGAAGGAAGCGTTTCAGCTGGGAAAGGAGAGGCATTTCGTTTCTGTAGATTAAAGCAACATCACCAAGAACCGCATCGGAACGGGCGTTGTGTGCACGCTCTCTTTTTTGCCTCAGTGAGGTCCTCGTGTGCACAGGGTCACGGGACAGCGAGTGCCTGCGCAGGGCTGAGAGGAGTCGTCCCGTGGCCTCTCCATACACGCCGACCACATGGCTGTGGCTTCTTCTAGCCCTCCGCGGAGACTCAGGCCCGCATTAGCTGCTCAGCTCTGTGCCCTGCCTGTGTGTACACACCTGTCAGACACGCGTGTAGTCTCTGTGCGTCAGGCCCTGTGAATCTGGGTGGAAGTACAATGGTTTCAATGTGAAAAAGCTCCTTTGACGATGACCACATCCACAGATGCGTGGGACCCTGTCTCAGGCAGAAAACGATGAAAACAGCGTGCCCGAGGCGTGTTTCTCTCCAACTTCCCGACCAAGCACAGGGCTCCGCAGCGTGTCTAGAAAGCCCTGATGTGAGTGTGTGTGTGTGTGTGCGCGTGGGGTCTGCGTGCATGTGCGTGAGGTGTGCGTGTGCACAGGGGGTCTGCGTGTGCGTGTTGCATGTTTGTGAATGCACAGGTGTGTGCGCGTGGAGTCTGTGTGCATGTGCGTGAGGTGTGCGTGTGTGCACACGGGGTCTGCGTGTGCGTGTTGCATGTTTGTGAATGCACAGGTGTGTGCACACGGGGTCTGCGTGTGCGTGTGTGCATGTGGCGTGTTGTTTGTGAGCGCATAGGTGTGTGGTGCGTGGACGTGGGCGGGACACTTGGGAACACTCCTGTGCTACCCGTCCATGCATACCCTCCTGCACTGAGCACCTGTCTCTGGAAGATTCCCCAGGTGATGGTCAGAGTCTCGCGCACTGTAACTGAGATGTGGGGCACACGGGGCGCCCGGCCCTCAGCCTCACCCAGTGGCCTCACTCAGGAGCGCCCGTTTCTCATCCGCCCTGGTGGGTGGCAGGCTGGGCCCGGCATTCAGATTGCTGACTGCAAATCTGCCTCCTGAATAGTCTGTCATTGCGTGGATCCTCTTCTGGGAACTCAAAGCTTGTAAGTGATTTATCTTCTAATTAAGTCAAAACAGTAAGTAAATGAGTCTGGTATCAGTGTGGTTTTGATTAATGGCTCACTGCTGATTTGAACTACACTTTGGGCAGCAGGCGGTTGCTCCTCTGGGTTTATAGATTCTAGGGTTGGATCTCCATTCTTAATCCTCGATATGACACTGGAAACATTTGTGTTGAAGCTTCTAAGTCGGGTTGAGGACGAAGACAGTCACGGACTCGGAACAGATGTCGTGATGCGCTGGGGCTGCCGATGGGGAAACAGAAGCTGGCTCTCGCAAACCTCCGAGCAGCACGGCCTCGCTGTGTCCTCCTCCCCAAGCTGGGGCACCCCCAGGGAGTCTTGGGCTCTCATCCCACGTGGACAGTGATGTGCGTCCACTTGGCGTGTGCACACCTGCATTCTCCAGGAAACGAAACGTGCGCTGCCTGACGCTGGGGAAGAGCTTACCTCCTCACCCCCTCACGGCGGCTGACGAGCGTGTGCCTCTGATTCAGGACAGAGCAGCTTCCTCCCGAGGCCGGGGACACGCCAGGGGTGCAGACGGGAGCCTTTGGAAGTGACGCTCGGCCAGCTGTCCTTTCAGGTTCCAGTGGCGTCTCGCTGGCCATCTCCTGGTGCGCGGAAGAGGCGGTGACAGCGACCGTGAGTGGCGGGCCGGCCGCATCACAGCGGAAGCCGCGGCTGTGCCTGCCAAGCCTGCAGAGACCGGCCCCACTGCCCGCGCCGGCGTCCCGCGTCTGGGCTGCTATTCCTGCTTCTGGAGTTTGTTCTCAAATCAGGACATCGACACGAGTTTACAAAGCTGCACAAACCTAGCAGGCTGGAATTGCTGTGAGGCTGAGGAACGTGGCCCAGAGCGTGAGGGTTGGCGCCGAACGCCCCCTCCACAGCCCTCCCGCCTGTGGAGAAATCCCCGTCTGTGTTCACGCCAGAGTCCGTCTCTCCTGGTGACGCCCCATTCGCAGTCTTCGCCCCAAGTCCCCTCCTGGCTGCCACGCTCCCAGGGACACCCTCCGTCGGTTCCCGTTGGTGTTTGCCTCCGTGCTTGGCCCCCCGAGGGCGCAGCGGCCGCCTGTCCTGTCCCCGTTGTCCAGGCCTGTGCCACTGGCAGGACCTTGTGAGCCTGCACCTGCCTCCTCGGGGTGGGAGGCGACCTCAGGGTGGCCTCCTCACGGCCAGCACGGAGGCGGAGCCTGGACGTCTGCGCGGGCACCCTCACGCCTCTGGCCCTGCCACGTGCGCCTTGCCTGCCGGCACCCAGCAGGGTGCTGCGGGGTGTTCCCGGGCGTCCGGCTCTCACGATGGCCCTGCGGGTGGGATGGCGAGGATGCATGTCCGCACCGCAGCCGTCCTCCCGTAGGTCCTCGGAGCTCCGGCTGCCGGCCGGCCACATAAGCACATGGCCTCTGTGCTTACTCCCGGTGCTCGTAGCGTTCCCATATGCCTGTCACCGCAGCGTTGGACTGTGGTGTTGGAGTGACTACCCTTTGTCAAGGGAAGTGAGTGCGAAAATAAAGCAGGAGACGTGAAACAGCTTGGGGTGCCAAGCCCTTTCTAGGCTCCAGGCTCTGCTCCAGGGGCGCGAGCTGGTGGGCACGGGGCCGCGTTTAGCCGTCAGGAGAGCCAGGAGAAGGGGGCCCACTGTGTTTATGGCCGTTTGTCTGCAAGTGCCCTCTTTGCTGTTAGGACGGTTGTGAGTGAGAAAGGGGACTCTGCCCTGCCCGGTGCATGTCTGAATTTATTGGGGAAAGCGTTTCTGCAAATGGCTTTGTGCCGCCCTAGGGTCCTGGGTGGTGCGAGCCACATGTGGTCCTTACGGCAGACACTTGCCCGGCGGGGTGCAGACCGCGCCATCACAAGCTGCCAGGGAGGCGGCAGAGGGAGGAGGTGGGCTGGCGGGAGGCTCGGTGGGGAGGGGGCCCTCCCAGCTGCTGCTGCTGCAGGACGAGTTGAGCACAGCCACGTGTGGCCACATCCGTGCCCTGGGTGGTGCTCACAGTGGTGCTGGGGCACGTGTGCGAGAAGTGTGAGTGTGCGGCCCGTGTGGGTGTGAGGGCGTGTGTTTGAACGCAGGTGACAGGAGTGCTCGCCGCTGACACGTGACCACGAGTCGGTCACAGAGACGCCGCCGGGGGCCGGGCTGTGGGGCTCCTTAGCACGATGTCCTTGTGAATTAGCCTCTGCTTATAAATACTTCTGAGCCGTGGGCACGTAGGGTGCTTAGTGGGGAACTCTTGGTCTCTTGCTAGCTACACGGCTACTTGGAGAACGAGCCACTCACACTACAGCTGTTCATCGGGACGGCCGACGACCGCCTGCTGAGACCCCACGCCTTCTACCAGGTCCACCGGATCACGGGCAAGACCGTCTCCACCACCAGTCACGAAGCCATCCTCTCCAACACCAAAGTCCTGGAAATCCCACTGCTGCCGGAGAACAACATGCGAGCCATGTAAGCTGTGAGCGCCTGGCTGGGGCGGTCGGGGGTGGGTGCTGGGCGATGCGGCCTGCATGCCCACATCTCTGCCCTGGGCTCAGCACCCGTGTAAACCATAGAGTCGCAGGCTGACGGGTTTATGTAGGGCTTCTGCTGCTGTGCACGTGGTACTTGAGCAGTTCTGTCCCCGTGGCCAGTCCCCCCTCATGCCCGCGTTCACCTCCTGAACACGACATCCCTTTATTTCTGAGTTCAGTGGTGGCCATATGCAAACACTGAAAACAGTAGGAGCACGGTCTACATGGACACAGTTCTCCCTGGGTGGTTCTGTCATCCCTGACATGAGTGGCTCTGACGTGCGTCCGGATTGCCTTCGTGGCTCCATGGAAGCTGTGTCTCTAAGCTGACGATTGACCTCCTCGTGTGCAAAGAGGCCCATATTCACAGCCTCCCCGCGGCCTCCTCCCCTCCTTCCTACCACGGTTGTGCACCCCACACTCCACTCCCAGGGTGTGAAGAGCGGGGCCCGTGGCCAGGCTGGGGGCGGAGCAGGGCGCCCTGTGTCGTGTGTCAGGAACTGAAAGGTGTGGACTCCTGTTCCTTGTTCCGGGTAGTGTGGACTGTGCCGGGATTCTGAAGCTTCGAAACTCGGACATTGAGCTGCGGAAAGGGGAGACGGACGTCGGGAGGAAGAACACCAGGGTGAGGCTGGTCTTCCGGGTCCACATCCCACAGCCCAACGGCCGGACGCTGTCTCTGCAAGTGGCCTCCAACCCCATCGAGTGCTGTGAGTATCAGAGCCAGCCCCGTGTCCCATGCTCTGTTTTGTGGCACCTTTCCTGTTTTGTTGTTCGTGGAGACTTGTGGACTGGACTCACGTGGGCATCGCTCTTGTCCCTTGCCTGTCGCGACGACTCCTGAGGAGCTCGCTGTGCTGGGTTCAGGTTCACGGGCTGCGCATGCGGTGGGCCCATCTGCTCCAGCAACCGTGGGGAAAGAGGACAGTTTGTCCGAAACCCGGAGATGCTTGCACTCGCCACATGTGAGCTAATCCCTCGTGTATCAGAAACCCGAGCAGCGGGATTTTGGCGTCTTGTCCGTGGGGTCCAGCGAATCTAAGTTCGTCGGCCCGTGTAGGACTCTCGCCTTCCCTGCCAGCCCCTGGTTTTCCCTTCCCTTGTGGTGTGCATGATTCAGGTGCGTCCAGCCTTGGGCCTGAGCGCTCTACTCCTGTGGGGGCTCGGCCGCAGCGGGGGCTCAGTGTCCTGTGACAGTGACCTTGCTGATTTTTGTCAGCACGTGAGGTCATTGGTGGAGACCCCACAAGCTGGCGGGACACCCGGGGCCTCTACGTGTTCTTGTAGGAGGTGCAGCCAGCCCCACCCACCCCCTGGCCACTGTCAGAATGTCTCCTGCCCAGCGGCCCCTCTTCCTTCTCTCTCGGGGTGTGGCTGTCATAGGACACTCACCTGCCCCTGCGGCTCACCTGCCCACCTGTCTCAGAGGGAGGGTCTGGGTTTGGTTCCCTCACCTCTGACCTGACTGACCCACCTCAGTGCCCAGATTCCTTCCCTGCAATGTGTCCTGTGCCCCCCACGTGGAGCCCCGCAGGCACCTGTCCCCACACCCCGGCACGGCCCAGGGGTCCGGCCACAGGCCACTGCACGTGTCTGAAGCGTGTCCTCCCTGCAGACCCGCTGGCTGGCCGAGAGCCGTGGGTGTGCACCTGGCCCGAGAAACTCTGTGCCACCACTGCTCCTGCCCGGGAACTTTGTTTGGTGGCCTCACTGCATCCCATCCTCCCCAGATGGCCCCACCTCCCTGCGCTCTGCGCCTTGTCCCAGCCCCTCGGGTCCTGCGGCTCCTGGCTCTGACAGGACCGAGAGCCCCGAGACCCCACCCCGGGTCACATGGGGCCTGCGCCCCCGCCGTGGCCCCCAGCTTCGAGCCCGCGCTCCCTTCACCGTCCACATGGGTGCTCTCTTCCTGGAGAGGTGTGTCGGTGTGTCCGTTCTGCGCGGAGCACCTGCGTCAGTGGCAGAGGCCGAGGGCCCCCCGGGGTGGCATATTCGCTCCACGGAGGCTCATGCACAGACCCACGCCGTGCACACATCCCTGCGTCTTGATTTTCCCGCGGGCACAAATCAGATGTGCGCTTGCCCCGCTCGTCTCTGCGTGATGACACGGACCCGTCGTGCAGCTGGTGTATCTTGCACCGGAGGCTGCCCGTGTAGGCGCCATGCCCCCCACCAGACCCCGAGGCGGCGCCGGGGAGTGCCCGTTCCTGACAGACTGGCCGACCCCGGGCGCTCTCTCGGGACGGCGGCGTGAGGTGGGGCCGGGGGCGCGTGCTCACTATCCTGTTCTGACCCCGCGCAGCCCAGCGGTCGGCCCAGGAGCTGCCCCTCGTGGAGAAGCAGAGCGCAGCCAGCTGCCCCGTCCTCGGCGGGAAGAAGATGGTCCTGTCTGGCCACAACTTTCTGCAAGACTCCAAGGTCATTTTCGTGGAGAAAGCACCAGGTACTTTCCTTACAAACAGACCGTGGAGCATGTCCTGCTGTGGGCGCTGGTGGGGGTGGGTTCCTGGAGGCGGAGCGAGGCCGCTCGGTGGGGCTGTGTGCGTGCTGGGGCGCGGGAGCAGCTCACGTAGCTCTGGCCTGTCGGAGGCCTGCCTCCACTCGCTGCCTGTGGCCCCTTGACCAGGCTGGACGGACGTCTGCTGCTTGGCTCTGAGCAGCCCCTGCTCCCGGCCACCGCGGGCCGTCTCGGGAACCACCGTTCTGCTCTGTGTAGGAGGGCTTCTCGCCACTCCGAGCCACAGCCTTCTTGGCAGCGGGCATGTGGACGCAGAGCGGCCATGGTAGACGGTGGGGCCTGCGCTTGGACCGGGGGCCCCTCCACACCCCTTGGCATCCTTCTGGCCCCTCTTCTTGGTGCTGCCCTGGGATGCAGAGGCGGGTGCTGCTCTTCTCCGTGTGACCGGTGGCCTCCAGGGCTCCCGACTACTCTGCCTGTGTACACGTGTTGGCAGGTGTAGACCTGTGTGCGTGCAGTGGTGGAGCAGGGTTGCTATACGTCCAGGGTGAGCAGTCTCTTCTCTCTGACGTTTGGTGATAAGGCCCTGGGTAAGCTTCTGCCCCGGGACACCCAACCCGTCCGGGGAGAGGCCACTGGGCACTCGCGCGAATAACACACAAGGGCAGGCGAGAGCGTGTGCGGGGCTCGCCTCTCTCTGAAGCTCTCTGCAGCTTTGATTCGGGAGCCAGGTCCCTGCCGAGCATGCCCCGTGGGCACGAGGCCCTGCCGCCGACGGGGTGGCTCCTCCCTGTTTCCGAGGGGACCGGTGCAGGACCCACGCTGACCACTGGAAACCACGGCGGGGTTCAGCCTCCACAATGGGGTCCTGATTTTGTGCCGAGAGCAGGAAGCTTAAGTGCCTCCATCAAAATGGGCTTGAAAGTCCTCCGTGTTCAGCGTGGTCTGCCTGTGTAATCATGCACGTAATTGGGAAACGTGAATTATGGAGAAAACCGACTAAGCATAACGATCAGGAGAATTTGCGTTACTGGAATATTGTTCTTTAGAGGAAGCTAATTTTGAAATGATTTAACCTTTTGAGCTTTAAATGTGTGAATAAGTGTGTGAGGGGGAGGGTCACCAGACATGGCGCTCTGTTCGCCGCACAGCGAGGAGACGTGCTGGGACGTGGCCCAAGTTGCCGCTTTTCTGGCTGCTACACGAAGGAGAAGTCCACACGGCTTCCTTCTCTGCCTTCCCTGACCAGTCCTCATTGTGGTGCCAGGATGAGACCATGGGGGTCTCCTGGATGCTCCCCGCTTTGTGGGCGCCGTGGGGCTCCTTTTGCAGGGCAGGCTCTCCCGGCCCGGCCATCCTGCTCAGTCCTAGATCTCTGCTCCGTGGCCTGCTGGTGCCACGTGGAGGTTGGCCACGAGCCCACAGTGTGGGGACCTTAGTCCACGGATGTGTGGCTGGCGCCATCCTCCCCCGGGGGCCCTCCAGCCGCCCCTCCTGCGTGGCCTGGTGCCCCGTGCGCAGCCGGCAAGACGCAGGCGTGGGTGGCAATGTGGTTGCAGGCTGTGCCCGGCCCAGGTGGGTATAAACGCCGTGGTTACATGTCTGGACGCTGTCGCTAGTTTGGGTGTGTATTTAAATAAGGTGGTTTGTGTGTTTACACACGCGCACACGAGTTTTAACTCCTGGCAGACGGGGCACTCGTGCTTCTCCTAACGTATCCTGATGCGCTCTGTAACCGTAACTAGGCTTTTCCTAGTTGGCTTTTTGGAGAAACCATTGAAGTCAGTTTAGGTTACAGTCGTCCCGTAGGCTTTTGGTGAGGCCTTTGGTCTGTGGCAAAGTTCAGTCTTTAAACTGCTTTTGGCGCCAAGGTCAGAATGTGATCAGGGAGACCCTCGTTGTGGGAGTCCTGAGCATGAGTCCCGCCAGGAAGGCCTGTGTGGTTCCCGTTCCTCCAGCTGCTCTGGGTGTCTCGGGGGCGCCCACCGCCCTGTGTCTGGGCCTCTTTGCAGTCGCTCTGGGCTTACGCACTAGTGACCCAGAGCTTTGTGAGGTTTCAAGGAGCGGTTCTTTCTGCCTGGGGGCTGGCCACGCCTGCTCCATCTCCCAGGAGGAGAGGCGCCTGGCGCCTGTGCAGGGAACAGCGTTCAGAGTCTTCGTAGGCGGCGGGATCAGCCCCGCTGGTGGGTGTTGGCGGGTCCCCGGGGGCCAGCCCAGGCAAGAGGAGGGGCTGGGAGGACCTCGCGAGACGTGAGGTGTGTGAGAGCAGGTGTGTGAGAACAGGTGTGTGACAGCACGTGTGTGTGAGCAGGTGTGTGACAGCACGTGTGTGAGAGCAGGTGTGTGTGAGCAGGTGTGTGAGAGCAGGTGTGTGTGAGCAGGTGTGTGACAGCACGTGTGTGTGAGTAGGTGTGTGAGAGCAGGTGTGAGCAGGTTGTCAGGGCGTGTGAGCAGGTGTGTGTGAGCAGGTGTGTGACAGCAGGTGTGTGAGGTGAGGTGTGTGAGCAGGTGTGAGGTGTGAGCAGGTGTGAGAGCAGGTGTGAGCAGGTGTGTGACAGCAGGTGTGTGAGAGCAGGTGTGTGTGAGCAGGTGTGTGAGCAGGTTGTGAGAACAGATGTGTGAGCAGGTGTGTGTGAGCAGGTGTGTGACAGCAGGTCTGTGAGCAGGTGCGTGTGAGCAGGTGTGTGACAGCAGGTGTGTCAGTAGGTGTGTGACAGCAGGTGTGTGAGCATTTGTGTGTGAATAGGTTGTGAGAGCAGATGTGTGTGAGCAGGTGTGTGAGAGCAGGTGTGTGTGAGCAGGTGTGTGGGCAGGTGTCTGAGAGGTGTGTGAGCAGGTGTGTGAGGTGTGTGAGAGCAGGTGTGTGTGAGCAGGTATGAGCAGGTGTGTGTCAGGGCGTGTGAGCAGGTGTGTGAGAGCAGGTGTGTGAGCAGGTGAGAGCAGGTGTGTGAACAGGTGTGTGTCAGGGCGTGTGAGCAGGTGTGTGAGCAGGTGTGTGTCAGGGCGTGTGAGCAGGTTGTGTGTGTCAGGGCGTGTGTGAGCAGGTGTGTATGGTCTGTGTGAGTGTGAGTGGGGGCTGTGTGTGTGTGAGGACCCCCTCTGTTGTCGTGGGGGTGCAGCCACCCACGCTCCTGGCCACATCGTGTGGCAGGGACAGTGTGCGGGAGCCCCAGGTGCCCTGTGATCTTTCTGTCCGAGCCTGGCCACAGCCGGGCAGAGCCAGCGGGGCTGCGTTCTGAGGGCTCTGGTCATCCAGGGTGCGGCGACAGCCTGGCCGGCACTTGCACCTCCTCTCCCGCCCTGGTCCAGGGCCGTGGCCACGGGGCTGTGGGTCCCACTTCCTTGGCATGCCGGTTCTGAAAGGTTTCTGGAAGTTGTGCAGACACGGACACCGCCGGCTGGCGGTGGGCTCACACACGTGCAGGCCGTGACGTGGCGCGGAGGAAAGATGTCTCCGTCGGAGTTTCCTGGGGTGGTTGTGGGAGGCGGTAGGAGCACACATCTGTCCACTCGGACAGCCGCTGCCCCTTGCTCGCCCACGTCAGCACGCCGAGGCCTGACCTCCACGGACAGTGTTCTCAGGCAGCCCGCTCCGGTGAGCGCTCCGCAGGGCCTGGCCGCGTGGGTGGGGGAAATAGCTGGTGCCCCTCGGATAGCGTCACCTGTGACCTTGCGTGGGACTGACGACTCTGGAAGCCACACTCATTGCCAGTGAGCCAGCACACAGCCTCAAGAAGGCTTTTCCTTGTGCTGTGGTCTGATCGAATGCTCGCGCCCCCCCCCCCCGTTGTAAACTACGGGACGTTTCACGTGGTCTCGGGGTCTGCCTGTGTCCCCGAACCCCCCTTCTCCTCCCCAGCTCAAGAGCTTGCCTTTACTGATGTCCCAAGATGCGCCCTGGTGCCCACTGGGGAGATGAGGCTTCGGCCCAGCCGGTGGGGATTCCACTCCCTCGCTGGGCTCTCCTGTGGGGACCCAACGTGCTCTCCAGGCCCAGCATTCGAGGGGCAGGGGCGGCCAGTGGGGGCTCAGCATGCCCTTCCTGGGGTGTGGTGACCCGCGCTGGACAGTGTGCAGAGGACCCAGCACGGGCAGGAGGGCCTCTCCGCAGACCCCCACAGGGCTTCCCGAGTCAGACCAGAGGCCTTGCGCCCTTGCTGGGAGAGGGTTGTCACTGAAATTTCCTTTCTCCGGGCTGGTGGCCAGTCTTTCCTGTGCTCTGCCCCAAACCATGCCTGGGTCCTCCCAGCTCAGCACCGAGGTGACATCCGGCAAGTGGGCCCAGCGGGGAGGGTTTTCTGTTCCAGATCCCACCCTCTTGCACCCATGGGTCTTGATGGGAAGGAGCGCAGGAATGGGTGGACGAGGTCACACAGGCTCCCTCTTGTTCCTCTTCTTCCTTCTGTCACAAGGCCACCCACGTGCACACCACACACGCTTTGAAGAACGTATGTTCTACGTCTGCTTTGTTGAGATGGAACTCACCGACCACGCAGCTCATCCATTTCAAGTTCAGGGGTCTTTGGTCTACTCGGCTAGGCAGCCATCCCACCAATTCAGACATTCCCAAACGCCATCCGCCCGTTCTCCTAGCCTGGCAGCTTCTAAGCCATTTTCTGTCCGTGTGGACCCGCCGGTTCTGAGCACCGCCCCGCCCAGAGCGGTGGTATTGGTCCGCTGTGTCTGGCTTCTGCACTGAGCGCACGTCTTCAGCTGCGTCCACACAGGATGTGTGTTGAACTTCGTCCCGCTCAAGGCTGGTAGCATTCCATCGTGTGGATGGACCACGTTGTGCTAACCCGCTTGCAGTGTAGACGTGGGGCTTGTGCCCACCTTTTGGGTCTGGTGCTTCCTCGAACACTGGTGTGCAGGTTTCTGTGTGGATGTGTGTGCCCTTCCCTGGGCATTGCCCAGGTGCAGAGTCCTGGTCGTTGGAATGCCGTGTTCAGTCGTGTGGGGACCAGCCAGGCTGAGCCCCACAGCAGGAGGCTGATTTCTTTCTCCTCTGGAATCTCTTCTGCAGGAAACAGACTGCTTTGAGCGGTGTTGGGGGGCCCCCGAGTGTGAGGCTTGGGGAGTTTCAGGGATTGAGGGAAGTGAAGACCAGCTGCATGGAGGCACTCCCCCTGGGTAGCACCCCAGCGCCGCTGACCCTGCATGCTCAAGAGTCAGCGCCCCGTCTCCTCCGTGGCCCCCACAGGAGTGTGGAGGGGCCCCATTTGTGCCTCCCCCACTGCCTTCCCCGACAGCCGGTAGCCCCATGACGGCGTTCGGTGTGCAGCCTGCTCCCACAGCCAGCAGATGGTGGGCAGGAGACCATGTGCACGTGGCCGTGGGCCCTGGGAACGTGTGTCCCGCCACGCAGACGTGTGATTCGGTCTGATCGGGCCTCTGCTGTTTCCATCCTGCCCGTTGGCTGTGTGACTGGCAGACCACTTCAGCTGATGCTGTGACTTGGGAGGAAGCTGGCCACTGGGCGTCCACGCTCCCGCTTGCCGGGGGCTTGGATGGCTATGTCTTGGGAAGCTCCGATGCTCCCGCAGAGGCTGGGGGCCCCACGTGTGGCCCCGTCCGGCCCCGAGCCGCCCCGGGAGCTGTGTGACTAAGAGCTGGGCTCGGAGGCTGCGCCAGCCACAGGCCGGCCATGGAAGCCTCCAGGCGGGCGGGTGTGGTGGGGAAGCCTTTCCGATGACTCACACTGCAGGGAATTCCCTAATGATTCGGAATATTTTTACTTCTGGGCTTGCGCACAGTTTCCTACTGAGGACCCAGGGAGCTCTTGATAAGGCTGGGGCTCCCAGGCTCATTCGGTGCTGGCCTTTCCCGTCCCCGTAGAGGCTGGGCTTTGCTTGGCACCCAGGCCGGGCCTGCCTCCGGCCAGAGCCCCACGGAAGCCGACGCCCAGAGGCCGGACGCCCAGAGGCCGGACGGCAGGGTCCGCGGCCCCAGCTCCTGGGGAGACCAGCGACCGGTCCCTGTGGCACTGGCACACGTGGGAAGCGGTTTTGTAACTGCCTAGTGTCCACGGTGGTCAGCCACGTTGGATGGTCTTCGGACAGTCAGCCTGTACACACTTCGACGTCTGCGTGAGTGGACAGCAGCTCATTTAGGACCCTCAGTAGAAACAGGCCAGACGCCTGTCCCTGTGGGCTGTGACTCAACCACAGATACAAAGACTCAGGGAAAACGGGGCCAGAGCCCAGGACCGTCCTCAGGTGGGCGGGAAAGTGCAGGCAATGGGCTCCTGCACCGCGGGCCTTCCAGAAGCCGGCGTCTAACGGGAGCGTCGGGGTGTGTCTGTTTGTGCTCTGTTGACCTGCACCCAGCAGGGCTGGCGTTTGGGGGAGCAGAGTGTAGCGTGCACAGTGGGCCCGTGTGGCTGGCCGGCCCTGGGCCGACGCTCTGATGAGGACTGGGACCCACCAGCCCAGGAGGGGCTGCAGCAGGAGGGTTCTGCTGCCCCACTTGGCCCCCGGGCCCCACGAAGCACCCCACCAGCTTCGTGACGTGGATGAGCCCGCAGGGTGTGTTCACAGCAAGGCCGGGTCTGCTCTGACCCCTCTTGGAGGGTAGACGGTGGGCGCAGGATCCCTTTGTTGCTGAACACCCTGTCCCTGGCCCCTCGTGGACCTCGGTTTCCCTCCTGCCCCCGCATACTCGATGTGCCTCCCTGCCCCCACTCCGACAGGAGGCCCAGACACCCGAGAATTCCTCAGGGAAGCCTGAGCCATGCTTTCCACCGACAGACGGAGACCGGGCAGCAGCCAGGGCTGCCCCCAGCCGTCCAGGTTGTGACACCTAAAGCTGTGTTTCTTTAAAGTTGTTTTAAGAGGCACCAAGAACATGAGAGACTTGCTTACAGGAAGAATAATTTCGATTTCCTTAAGCAAGTGGTGGGTGGGGCCCCAGCCCGCGAGCCCAAGGAGGGTCTGGCCTGCACGGCCTAGACTAGCCTGCCCCGTCCTCACGCGGGGCAACTGGAACCCCATCCCCAGCTCACAGCTCACGATCATCCGTCCGCTTGGGGGGCTGGGGGTTAAGGATGCTTCTGTGCTCTGGAATGTGAGCAGCTTTGTGGAAGTCTTGGTTGGTGCCTTTGAGAATGGGACGGTGTATTTTTAGTTTCCCATTATGTTTTCCTGGAGGAGACACGGACGCTGATCCCTTGGGCCACTGGTCTGCATTTTATCACCGAGTGGGTTCATCTGGTGGGTAATTTGCTCCGGGACCTCGGGCGTCCCGAGAGGCTGGTGTGGTCCTGGCAAGCCGACGCTGCTCTGGGCTCTGTGTGACTCACATTTCCTCCCTCTGTCTCCACCCTCCACCCCTGCCCGCCCGCACTGTCAGGCAGAAAAAGGAGATTTTGTCTAATTTATTTATAATTTAGGATCTGTAAGACACATACATCTCTTCTTTGGAAACAGAGCAGGAGCAAAAACTAAGTATGTCTCGTTGTAATTGTTCGTTTGGGGACAGACTTTATAGAAGATGGGGAGGGGGGAGACCTTGGCAGGAGACTGACCTCTGTTAATTCAAAGTAACTACCCAGCCGGTCCCCACACAGTTGGCCGGCCATAGAGGGGCTTCCAAAGGCCAAGTACTCGGTTTGCAGACGTTCCCACCAGTGGACTTCTCGAGGCTCCCTCCCTCGCAGGCCTGGGCCTGCAGAACACTGAGCCCTTTCAAGGCCTATTGGGAGCCTTTTTACTTTTTTTTAAACATGCAAACGGCCACTGGGGTAAGGTTAAAAATACCATGTTTTGCATTTCTGTATCCTGATGTGGCAAGAAGTCGTCACAGAAAGGGTTTTCTCGTTTAGCTGGCAGTTCCTGTGGGCAGAGGCAGGACCGTGGCTCCTGGGCCCTCATTTGTTGGAATAACTCTGCTCCCAAAACATACAGGCTTTGCAGGCACCGCTCATTCGGCCCCGGCTCCCGGGGTTTGCACCTTGAGGCTGGAGTCACTGGCGGGCACGAGGGCCAGGACACACACCTGGGTCCAGGTCTGAGGACCACGCACTTTTTCCCGGGTCCTGGTGTTTCTCCTGGGCTCGCACTCCCTTGACAAGCTTGGCATGTAGAAACCCTCCCACGCCTGGCGTGAGGCTGGGGCGGCATGCCTGTGGATGTAGGCGGGGGGGCAGATTTCTGGGGCGCTCGCTGAATGTGGCCCCCTCCCACAGAGCCGGGGGCCTTTGGGCACCGCCAGGCTCCCTGCCCCCACGTCTGGGCCTGGCACGTCCTCTCCGCCAGTGACCCACACACAACTGTTTGCTCTCACGAGTTAACAGCCAGGATGGCCTGAGCTCATCAGAGGGCGGCGGTCTCCAGGGTCCCCTGTGCCTGGTGAAGGCACGTGGTCTTGTGCAGTGGGCTCGACCAGGCACCCAGAGTGACCAGCTTCCCTTTGCCCCTTTCTTCTAGATGGTCACCACATCTGGGAGATGGAGGCGAAGATGGACAGAGACCTGTGCAAGCCGGTAAGTATGGCCGGACACGCAGCCCGTGGTGGCTCTGGAGGCTGGGGGCTTCCTGCTTGCGGGAGCAACGAGAAATACCAGATGGAATAACAGAGCACAAAGCGGAGACTGTGGTAAAGCGCTTCCTGAAACAAGTGTTCTCAGGACCCACAACCCACTGGAGGGCAGGACCCCCGCCCCAGGAGGTGCTCCGTCCCCTGCGGGGACCCTGGGCTCGCACCTGGGCCCCCCCGGCGATCGTTGTCACCAGGGGTCCCGCAGAAGCCGCTGTTCTGAGTGTGAGTGGGCGCCTCACCTGCCCCAGCATGCCAGGCTGTGTGAGGTTCCACCAGCGTCCTTGGCACCCATCACCGAGTAGACTCTTGTTTTGAATGTGAACTAGATGTGAAGTCAGGTCTCATTGTGCCACTCAGATGTGCTCATTCCCTCTGCCAATTAGCTGGTGTGCTTGTAGGCGCCGGCAGGTCGCGGAGCAGGGGCCCGGCCTCGTGGGGGCCGCTGCGCAGCTCTCAGGCCCACAGACGCCCCGCGTGCACCCACACGGACACCCAGCCTCTCACAGCTCCTTGCTTGCGCGTGTAGGTACCTGCGAGGTCTTTCCTGCCCCCATGGTTGTTGATGGAGGAGGGAGGTTGGTCGTCTACAGGTCTGCGGCTCGTGCTAGCCAGCACACTGTTCTCCATCCCCCGACCTTTCGCTGGGGCCTTATGTTTAAAGTGGATTTCTCATAGACAGCAAATAGCTGGGTCTGATGGTCCGTCCGTTCAGTGGTGTATTTAGAACGTTGGTGTCCAAAGTAATTATTGACAGAGTGGGATTAACCTCTCCTATCACGTGTGTGTTCTGCTTGGTCCCAGAGAAGCAGCAGAGGACTTCAGGCTGACCTAAGACTGTGGCCAGCAGGTCACTGAAGAAGTTCAAAGTTCTCCCAAGCCCTGTAGCTCACCCCACTGACTGTGGTGGACAGGTGTGTGTGCCCCTTGCTCAGCCTGTTGACCATGGACGGGTGTGTGTGGCCCCTAGCTAACCCTGCTGACCACGGACAGGCGTGTGTGGCCCCTAGCTCAGCCTGTTGACCGTGGACGGGCGTGTGTGGCCCCTAGCTCAGCACGCTGGGACCGTGGACGGGCGTGTGTGGCCCCTAGCTAACCCTGCTGACCACGGACAGGTGTGTGTGGCCCCTAGCTCAGCGCGCTGGGACCGTGAACGGGCATGTGTGGCCCCTTGCTCAGCCCGTTGACCGTGGACGGGCATGTGTGGCCCCTAGCTAACCCTGCTGACCACGGACAGGTGTGTGTGGCCCCTAGCTCAGCCCGTTGACCGTGGACGGGCGTGTGTGGCCCCTAGCTCAGCGCGCTGGGACTGTGGACGGGCGTGTGTGGCCCCTAGCTAACCCTGCTGACCACGGACAGGTGTGTGTGGCCCCTAGCTCAGCGCGCTGGGACCGTGGACGGGCGTGTGTGGCCCCTAGCTAACCCTGCTGACCACGGACAGGTGTGTGTGGCCCCTAGCTCAGCGCGCTGGGACCGTGGACGGGCATGTGTGGCCCCTAGCTAACCCTGCTGACCACTGATGCGTGTGTGGCCCCTAGCTCAGCGTGCTGGGACCGTGGACGGGCGTGTGTGGCCCCTAGCTCAGCGCGCTGGGACCGTGGACGGGCATGTGTGGCCCCTTGCTCAGCCCGTTGACCGTGGGTGGGCGTGTGTGGCCCCTAGCTAACCCTGCTGACCACGGACAGGCGTGTGTGGCCCCTAGCTCAGCTTGTTGACCGTGGACGGGCGTGTGTGGCCCCTAGCTCAGCGCGCTGGGACCGTGGACGGACATGTGTGGCCCCTAGCTAACCCTGCTGACCACGGACAGGCGTGTGTGGCCCCTAGCTAACCCTGCTGACCACTGACGCGTGTGTGGCCCCTAGCTCAGCGTGCTGGGACCGTGGACGGGCGTGTGTGGCCCCTAGCTCAGCCCGTTGACCGTGGACGGGCATGTGTGGCCCCTAGCTAACCTTGCTGACCACGGACAGGCGTGTGTGGCCCCTAGCTAACCCTGCTGACCGTGGACGGGCGTGTGTGGCCCCTAGCTAACCCTGCTGACCACTGACGCGTGTGTGGCCCCTAGCTCAGCGTGCTGGGACCGTGGACGGGCGTGTGTGGCCCCTAGCTCAGCCCGTTGACCGTGGACGGGCATGTGTGGCCCCTAGCTAACCTTGCTGACCACGGACAGGCGTGTGTGGCCCCTAGCTCAGCCTGTTGACCGTGGACGGGCGTGTGTGGCCCCTTGCTCAGCCCGTTGACCGTGGACGGGCATGTGTGGCCCCTAGCTAACCCTGCTGACCACGGACAGGCGTGTGTGGCCCCTAGCTCAGCCCACTGACTGTGGACGGGCATGTGCGGCCATTCTGACAGTGCAGGGAAATGGGAAGTTGGCTTACTCAGAAATAGTACTCAGGGCAGGAACATACTGTTTTCTCAGGGCTCCCGGAGGCCCTGGGGTGTTGCAGCGGGGTGCACAGGGAGGAGTTTCTGACGCCGTTAGGTAGGTATCTCTGCCCTGCGGCTGGTGGGACTCTGAGTCACGAGGGGGACCCCCGGCCACCATGAAGGTAGCTCTCTGACGGCTGCTCACTCACGGCAGGCCCGGGGCTGCCCAGGTCCTCCCAGGTGGCTCTATCAGGATGAAGCATCTCTACTTGGGACTTCAGCTTCCTTTCCCAAAGCTCTAATCCAGCGGGAGTCAGATGGAAAAGATCCCTCCCTGGCCTCAGGGGGAAGCCTGTGCTCTGGAGCTTGCTCCCCTCCCGTGATGTCCAGGCCACCTCCCGCGCTCGGGACCTCACACGCACACACACGAGCTTCTTCGGGTTCCGTCCCGCTTCCCGCCTGCCCGAGAAGCCCCAGGGAGGCGCCAGGGGCTCTGGGCAGCACGGCCCCCAGACGGGGCGCTCGCTCCTGGCTCAGCCGGCGCACCAGGTGCAGCCGGCTCACGGGTTTGTCGTAAACAGACACCTGGCAATAGGACAGACAGCTGCAGGCCGCCTCCAGCAGCCTCCTGCGTGCGCCCCGGCCCACGAGGGGCCCACCCGTCTCCCCCAAGCAGGGAAGAGGCTGCAGAAATCCGGCGGCTTTCCGTATTGAGACAACTCCTGCCCAGTTTGCAGGCTCAGCATTGATTTTTCTCCTTTACTTTGAATAGTTGTGTAGTTTAACGGAAGCTTAACAGTTAACAATTGGGGGTTTTAAAAGAAACATAATGGTATGTGTGAATGAGGATGTACTTTAGATGTACTATTCATCCTTCTTATCTCTTAATCGAGGTTTACTTTTAAGTGTTATTCCTAATCATAAAGGAGTATGGTATTCATTGTGGAAATTTGGAAAATATAACAAAGTATAAAAAAGAAAGCAGGCACCTTGTGTAATTTTACCCCCGCTAACGTTTGGTCCTGCCGGGCTTTCCCTGGTGTGTGTGCGTGTGCGTGGGGGTGTGCACATGTGTGTGCGGGCGCTCATTGTGTCCCAGGCGCCTCGTAAACAAAGCAGGATCGTACTGTAGACGTGGCTTGGGCTGTTGTGAGCAGTGTAGACGGGAGTTCTTAAGCAAGTTGCGTGGACGCGTCGAGTGCCGTTTGTACTCCCTGCTTTCCCTGTGATGACAGATGTCCTGTTGCTGAGTTTCTTTCCTGCATCTCCACACACGCACAGCCCAGCGTATCTATTTGGAAAGCTGAAGCATATCAGCCTGTGCCCGCATCAGAATAGGGCCCCAGTCACCTCGGATTCATGGAAAGCAAACCACAAAGTCGAACCCGGTCCGAGGGCCGCACTGGCCTGCCCGGAACACCTGTTTCTGCCCGTGCGACGCCTCGCACACACTTCTGTGGACTCTCCTGTTGACGGCTCCTTGTGGCTCATTTTATTTTGAGCCTCTGTTTAAGCAGGACCTCCTCCTCTCTGTGTCTTCGCTTCACTTCTTCTGTGGCTTCACTTCTTCTGGTTCCACAGTGGCTCGCCGTCGGGGAGGGCCAGCATCCCCTGCAGGGTCCTCTCCGTGTAGTCGAGTCCTCAGACGTAGTCTCTCTGCCCTTCATGCTCCCCGTGCCGATGGTGAGGCAGAGACGCAGAGCGACCCGGAGCCTGGCCCTGGCCATGCATGGCCCCCCCGCCCCCGCCCCGTGGGACCCGCCCTTTGCCCCATCAGCTCCATGTCTGCAGGGTTATTCTTGCTAAGGGGACGAGATGCTCAGGCAGAAGGAGATGCGGCTCGTTGCCTCTTCCAGATGGGACACGGTCACTGAAGCACTAAAACCGCTTTGGAGCAAGCATGGCCCCAGGGGATGGAGCCCAGAGGGGCCCTGCTGTCCGTGCGCACCCTCAGCAGCAGGCTTCTGAGCCTCAGTTTCTTTGTCTATAAAAGGACAAGGTTGGGCCTAAAGTTCTCTTCAGTTTCGTTTTAACATTCTTAGGATTCCATTACTAACATGAGTCAATCCATTTTGCTATTAAACTGGGTAATAAGCTACAATTTCTTTGACAAAAACCTGATACAATGGATTTTTCTTTGTTTTCTCTACTTGTTAACTTAAATCATTGGACAAAAAAAAATTGAAGAAACATTTTGGATGTGAAATCCTGTCCCTCAGTGCGAAATCGAGCACAGCGTGGGCACCTGTGGGGACCTGTCCCCTGACTTTGGCCCCTGGCATCGGGCATAGAGTGGTACGCCCGCGAACACCGACATTGGCTGGGACCCGGGCGGCCTGACCACCAGCCTGTGTCTCCCATAATGCCGTGCGTCCCACCTGACTTACTTCAGACCTGTACTCGAAGGAGGATAGTTTTTGTGACAAGGTTGCCAATCTGTGCTTTAGACTGTGAGGTTAACAGCACCCACCATAAGCCCTCCTGTCCCCGTTTGTACCGTTTTCTAACTGTCCACCCCTCTCCCAGTCTGCTCATGTTTCGCTCACCCACCTTCCGTTTGAGAGAATCTGGGAGGCCGTGGTGGGCGTTGGGCCTTCATCACAGAACCGGTCCCTGAGACACGTCTCCAGGAAGCACCTCCCCTGGGTCTTCACCGCGTTACCTGAACAGGTGCTCACCGCTCCATCTGTGAGCCCAATGTGGGACTGTTTTAGTTTCCAGAGGTCACTGGCCCTTTTGGTTTGGGCAGACAGACACATGGGGGTCTTTCGAGGACCTCTTCTGCCACGTGGCCATTCTGCCCTCAGATGAGCACCAGAGGCTTTGCTCGGGGATGAGTCGGTGGCATCTGAGGGGAAGCCCCCAGCCAGCCTGCTGCCCCCACCCCCCAGCGCACACCACCCGTCAGCTCCGGGTGCTCAGGCTGCCCACGTGGGCCTGGCAGGTTCAGTCTGCACACATGTGCGCCCACGTCACAGGCAGGCTGTCTGTGGGCAGCTTCTCCTAAGCGGCTGGGACAGCCACCGGGGAGCTGCTCGCCACTAGGGAGCTCTGGCGGGGCCGCGCGGGCGCGTCGTGTCTGAGCCTCTCACCCTCTCCCTCCTCTCTGCCGTTTCTCACCAGAACTCGCTGGTGGTCGAGATCCCGCCTTTCCGCAACCAGAGAATAACCAGCCCCGTGCAAGTCAGCTTCTATGTCTGCAACGGGAAGAGAAAGAGAAGTCAGTACCAGCACTTCACCTACCTTCCTGCGAACGGTAACGCTCTCTTTCTAACCTTAAGCGCTGAAAATGAACCAAGGGGGCACTTTTTCTAAAAGACACAGGAATGCCGAGATGCTGTCGCCATGGAACAGTGTGGTTGCCTTGTAGGTTTCAGCTGCGTTATCATCCTGTTAGCAAGACCGTGTCCTCAGTTCTTAAAAAAAGAAGTGAAGCTTTCCGTGTATTTCCCTTTACTACTGCTGTGGGTGGGGGCTGCATATTGGGGTAATTACTGACCGTTTTGCTGGCTGCTTGCAAATATAGAACAGCCCGGGGGAGAAAAGGTACAGCCCTTCTGTGCTCAAAAGCTGAGGTGGTCTAGGTGTGTGTTTAAATTCTATAGCTGTTTAAGGTGGAAAAGCAAATAGTTACAATTATTTTGCAGGTGCCTTTAGAAATAAATCTATGCTATTGAGCCTAAAGGCTAGTGCTTGATGTGGTCATTAACTAACATTAACGATTTCTGTGCTCCTGCTAATGCCCCACCTCCCATTTTTCCGTGAATAATCGCATCTCCCTGTGACCGTGAGGCCTTCAGGCCCGAGCACCTTTTACTCAACTAAATACTGTCCTCGCTGAGACTGTTTATACACTTTGAGGATAAATGCTTAGGACTTAGGGAAATCAGTTTGCCTTTTCTGCTTCTTAAGGTGTTTTTTTTTTTACCCCCAGAACTAGTAGAAAATAAATGTGCTCTGCGTTGTCCTCAGAGTATCGCCTGGCATTCTGCCTCGCGGGCCGGGGCATGCGCTCAGAGAGCACGGGATCGCTTGTCATCCCAGGTTCAGTTGTGTTTTGTGTCAGCTCAGCTCTGCCAATAATCTTTTTGTACAGTAGCTATTCTAAAAACTTAGGAGATTCATATAATTTAAGAGGGAAATTAGTTTTACACTAAAAACTATTGCAAAACCAGCCACGTTGCTTTCTTGGTAAAATCAAGATTCTCTGAGGGTTTAGTTCTCTTTAACCGTAAGGTGTCATTTACAAAATAGACTAGATCGTAGGAAGGCCTAGAATATCTGCGTTGATATCAGAATTAACTGTTTTCTGGGCAAATGTTAGCTGTGCCTTTGAAGATTGGAATAATGCGGTCTTGTAAAGTCACCACCTCAAGAGAGGGGACGCAAGCTAGGACTGCAGAAAAGGACTGTGTGCATGTGAGCTGCTCCCACCGGGGTCGGGTGTCCTCGTGTCTGTGACCCTCCTGGGCGTGCGTGCTCTGCAACGTGCTCCATCCCATCTGCTCGTGGAATGAGGAGCAATATATCTTACCAGAGAAAATATTTAGTCATTTTTTGAAAATGTAATGATTTTGTCCTAATTAAACTTCAAACATGGTTGACCAAAAATTGAATGTTTTAAAGAAAACCAGGCTTTGTAAGAAAAATTGCTTTTTAAAGCAGTTTAGAAAATATCTCTCACATTAATGTTTCTGCAGTCCCTGCACCGAGCGGTAACACACACTCTCCCGTGTTGGCGGGAGAGGGCCTGTGACCTGCACCTCCTACAGGAGGGGACACTGAGCCCCAAGAACATGTTGCTAAGATACAGGGGTGCTGAGGGCTGTGCATGCGCCATCCTGTCTCCCTGCCCTGCAGTGGGAATCACATGCTGCAGCGTCACCCCACAGGGGCCTGACTGCCCTCTGCCCTAGGACCCCGTCCCCACCCTCTCTGTCTGCCCTAGGACCCCGTCCCCACCCTCTCCGTCTGCTCTGGCACCCAGTCACCACGTTCTCCATCTACCCTGGGACCCTGTCACCACCCTCTCCATCTGCCCTGGGACCCCAGTACCAACCTCTCCGTCTGCCCCGGGACCCCGTCACCACCTTCTCCATCTGCCCCGGGACCCCGTCCGCATATTCTCCATCTGCCCTGGGACCCCGTCCCCATGTTCTCCATCTGCCCGGGGACCCTGTCACCATGTTCTCCATCTGCCCCGGGACCCCGTCCCCACGTTCTCCATCTGTCCCAGGACCCTGTCACCACGTTCTCCGTCTGCCCTGGGACCCCATCACCACCCTCTCCATCTGCCCCGGGACCCTGTCACCACGTTCTCCGTCTGCCCCACGACCCTGTCCCCACGTTCTCCATCTGTCCCAGGACCCCGTCCCCATGTTCTCCATCTGTCCCAGGACCCCGTCACCACCACCTCTGTCTGCCCCGGGACCCTGTCTCCACATTCTCCATCTGTCCCAAGACCCCGTCACCACCTTCTCTGCCCCGGGACCCCGTCACCACCTTCTCTGTCTGCCCCGGGACCCCATCCGCATGTTCTCCATCTGCCCTGGGACCCAGTCCCCACGTTCTCCATCTGCCCTGGAACCCCATCACCACGTTCTCCATTTGCCCCAGGACCCCATCCCCATGTTCTCCATCTGCCCTGGGACCCCATCCCCACGTTCTCCATCTGTCCCGGGACCCTGTTACCACGTTCTCCGTCTGCCCTGGGACCCCGTCACCACCCTCTCCATCTGCCCCGGGACCCCGTCACCACGTTCTCCGTCTGCCCCAGGACCCCGTCCCCACGTTCTCCATCTGTCCCAGGACCCCGTCACCACCACCTCTGTCTGCCCCGGGACCCTGTCTCCACATTCTCTATCTGTCCCGGGACCCCATCACCACCTTCTCTGTCTGCCCCGGGAGCCTGTCACCACCTTCTCTGTCTGCCCCGGAACCCCATCCGCATGTTCTCCATCTGCCCTGGGACCCAGTCCCCACGTTCTCCATCTGCCCCGGAACCCCATCACCACGTTCTCCGTTTGCCCCAGGACCCCATCCCCATGTTCTCCATCTGCCCCGGGACCCCGTCACCACGTTCTCCGTCTGCCCCGGGACCCCGTCCCCACGTTCTCCATCTGTCTCAGGACCCCATCACCACCACCTCTGTCTGCCCCGGGACCCTGTCCCCACATTCTCCATCTGTCCCGGGACCCCATCACCACCTTCTCTGTCTGCCCTGGGACCCCGTCACCACCTTCTCCGTCTGCCCCGGGACCCCGTCCACATGTTCTCCATCTGCCCCAGGACCCCATCCCCACGTTCTCCATCTGCCCCGGAACCCCGTCACCACGTTCTCCGTTTGCCCCAGGACCCCATCCCCATGTTCTCCATCTGCCCCGGGACCCTGTCACCACATTCTCCGTCTGCCCCAGGACCCCATCCCCACGTTCTCCATCTGTCCCAGGACCCCGTCACCACCACCTCTGTCTGCCCCGGGACCCTGTCCCCACATTCTCCATCTGTCCCGGGACCCCGTCACCACCTTCTCTGTCTGCCCCGGGACCCCGTCCCCACGTTCTCCATTTGCCCCGGAACCCCGTCACCACGTTCTCCGTTTGCCCCAGGACCCCATCCCCATGTTCTCCATCTGCCCCGGGACCCTGTCACCACGTTCTCCGTCTGCCCCAGGACCCCATCCCCACGTTCTCCATCTGTCCCAGGACCCTGTCACCACCACCTCTGTCTGCCCCGGGACCCTGTCCCCACATTCTCCATCTGTCCCGGGACCCTGTCACTACCTTCTCCGTCTGCCCCAGGACCCCATCCCCATGTTTTCCATCTGCCCCGGGACCCTGTCACCACGTTCTCCGTCTGCCCCAGGACCCCGTCACCACCTTCTCCGTCTGCCTCAGGACCCCATCCCCACCTTCTCCATCTGCCCCAGGACCCCGTCACCACTTTCTCCATCTGCCCCGGGACCCTGTCACCACCTTCTCCGTCTGCCCCAGGACCCCGCCCCCACACTGTTCTCTGTTCTGCTCCTCACACCCATGCTCTAAACCATACCCCATGTGGATCCCCTGTCTGTAGGTGATGCTCCTTCCTAGACATAGTCTGTCCATCGAGCACTGGCCAGTCCGTCTGCCTCCATCAGGTGTCAGCGTCATCCACACTTCTGTCCTTGAGATTTGCTCCCACCCCGAGCGCCTGAGGCATCCCCACCGCCTGCCCCTGGGAGCGCCCTGGCCCTGCCCTGGCTTCCTGGGGTGGCTGGTCTCGGGTCTGGCCTGCTGGGGCGGGTGGGGGGGTTGGAACCACACCCACGCACCACTAGACTGTAAGCTCCCGAGAGCAGGGACCTCGGCCGGCATCTGACATCGTGGCTGAATCGCAAAGACAACCCTTATGTGGTTTTAAAAATAAACAAGAGAACGAATGAAAAAATTAGAACTCGTGTGTCTGGTTTTCAGTTTGGTGTTTGTCCTCACCGCGCACTCAGCAGGCCCACCCAGGCGTGAGCAGGTCCAGAGACCTGCGTGCTTAGCGCCTGCGCATCCGTGTCTTGGCACACTGCTTAGAGAGTCCCCCACGTACTGCGCCAGCCTGAGCCTCCCACCCGGACACTGGATTGTCAGCTCGGAGTCAAAAGACACGTGCCGTGTGGACGATAGCTTGGCAGGGATGGTTGGTTAGAAAGCATCAGGCGGTTTCTGAGCTGTTTGTGGTATGCTCCTTCTTCTCGGAGGCCTTGTTTGTGAGGTGCTGCCGTGCTCACCTGGGTGGTGGGTCCCTTCGCAGGTGCGCTTGCGTCTGGCTCAGGGGTCCATCCTGCGTTTTCCAACAACAGGTTCTTTTCAAGGTTCTTAAACGTGCCGTTGATATGTGCAAGGCCTTGGAAGTAAATCCACTTAAACCCTACCCGTAAAATTCATTTTCATGTACAAATATGTAAAGTCAAGTGCCCTTTTAGGTTTTCCATCAAAATTAGCTGTGGGTGCAGATGACGATGGGGACCACCTCTCCTCATGGTGGGAGACACACTGTGGTCCTCAGAGGTATGACCCCATGAGGCAATGCCCCGGGAGGCCACCCTCACACAGAAAGGCAGGGACCGTCGCTGCCCTCACGCGGCCCCTGGGAGTGTAGGCGTTGGAAGTGAGAGGATCAAAGTGTTTGTTGCTTGGGGGCATGTGGGGGCCACCCCTGTGTCACCCTCTAGTCGCCTTCCCCACTTCTGGTCACAGCAGGCAAACTGACCTCAGCTGCCTGGGT